TCTTTAAATGCTCAGTTTTTCTTTTAACAATAAATCTGGTAGCTTCTATTAATTCTGAAACGAAATTATTAATGATTAACATACGATTTTCAAACAAATTAAAAACGTTTTTTAATCGAATCTTGTATTCAGTTATTAGAAGCTACTTCATTTATGTTTCTGAAAGAGGAACCGCAAATAAAATTTTCATCATCTCATTGATAATTTTAAAAGTAGAAGAACAAAAAGCTACTGATTGTAAACAAAAGTTAAATATTTATGGATCTCGGTAAAATATTAGATATTTTTGTGCAAGCTCTCTTTTAGTATAAAATCAAACAACATGCAAACCATGAATACCATTTTTTAAGAAACGTTAATGAATAGACGCTAAAAATTAACAAAATGTTTGATAATTGCGTAGCTGAAAGCTTTCCTTTAGGAATAAAATACAATTTTCTTAAACTTTTGGAAAATTTCAAACAATAGCGACAAAGATTAGCAATCATGAAGCAGGAATAATTCCGATAGTATTTCTAAAAGTGTTCTACTGATAAAATTGGAATAAGTTATTCTATATTCCTACTTACACATCGACCCAAAAGAGCGTAGGAACTCGTTTACAGCCCGTCAAATTCTAAATAATAACAAAAGAAAATTATTATTAATACTTTCATCAAACGATACGTTGTATCTAGACTCTGCAATACTTTCAGATCCTGCATATTTCTACACGACTTATTCAAAACACACCCTAATAATCATCATGAAAAATAATACCATATAAGCTTTCTGTAAATCTATGGACACTTATACTTACATTTAAAATACATCCACCCCTGTAGGTTCTCATTCATGCAAGAAAAGGCGGCCCGTACAATGAAAGAATACCAATCTAAACAGAAAATTCAAAAAATATTTTAATTCTTAAATATTACAAGAAATATGTCTCTGAATGTATTTATTTTTAAGCTTTACTGTTGGATGTAATTTTTCTTCAACCCCTTTACATCTCTTCCGTGCATTAACTGTTAAAATCACAATATTTTCATCGTCTTACTAAAGGAAGTACTTCATCCTTGTGACGGAGGGCTATTCCAAATACGGGGTGCAAAACATTTTTTATTCTTTAAACGTTAGAAGCGTTCGAAATATGGTGTCATAGGCGGATGATGAGGATATCGTGGGTAGAAAAGGTTAGAAATGAAGAGGTATTGGAAAGAATAGGAGAACAGAGGACTCTATGGAAGTCAATAAAAAATAGGCGAGATAGGTTGGTAGGACACCTTCTCAGGCATGAAGGTCTAGTCAGAGACATATTAGAGGCAGGAACAGGAATTAGGAGGGGTAGAGGTAGACCTAGATTAGATTACTGTTCGCAAATAGTTGAGGATGTGGGCTATTCTAGTTTTAGGGAAATGCGAAGTTTAACTTAAGGACAGGAAAGAGTGGAGGCACGTGTCCAACCAGTCTTAGGACTGAGGACCTTATGATGATGATGAAACGTAAGTGAGGCATGGATCGTTTTTGACTTTTCGCTGCAATTTTATTGCATTTTCCTTTAAAACAGCAGCAGCATTCATTCTGCTAGGGTACACAATTACACAATTTGTCACTATGCCGTTGCAGGTCGTGAACAAAGCACTTGCTCATTATTACGTATTATATGTCACTGAATATCCTCAAAATACAGCTCTTCCCACCTTCAACGTAATGTTTATGACTGGATGGATCACTATGCTCTATCTGCTCATACTAGTTACGTTAATCAGCCGATAGGCATAAGCCGACTGATGAGTTTGCAATCCATGAATACGATATACCTTTTAATTAGCAAACGTCAGTGAGCAGACGCTGAACATTAATAAACTAGTTAATAATTACGTAGTTTCAAGCTCTGGTTTAGTATACTACCAGCAAAATTTAATTTTCTCAATACTTCACAATATTGCGAACAATAGTGGTCAGATAATCTACACAATTACAGTAGTGAAGAGGGAGAATAATTCCGACATTATTACCGAAGGTGTTCTATTGATCAAAATTCCGATATATCTGAATGTGTTCTATTTACCAATACAAATAAATCCATCTGTGTTCCTATTTCACCCAATAAAGCACAGTATTCATTTGTTCATGGAAACTTAATAATAACAATAGAAGATTGTTATTACAATGTTCATTAGGCAATATGTTGTATCGAAACCCTGCAATACTTTCAGATCCTGCATATACCTTCACGCCCTATTCAAAACAACCTAATAATCATCATACGTAATAATGCACTATATATTCTCTAAATTATACTTTCGTATTGTTAATTATAGGAATGGGACTTACTTTCTATATCTATCAATAGTAAGGCTTTCTTATACGACGAGTTATCCATGTAATAAAAAAAATATTTCAAAAACTCAAGACATTGTAATTTTTGAATATTACTAAAAAAGTAAATATTTATTTTTAGATACAACTTTTTTTCAGTCCTCAAGTGTCTTAATCGTATCCTCTGAGTATTCGTGACAGTTCTGGAAATTTTCGAATCGATATTCTGAAGTGTTAGATGAAAATTTCAGTGTAATAAAATAAGAGCTGAACATGAGATTTGAACGTCATCTGAAATAAGGACAAATGGTCATGCTCGGTAATATAAGGGATTACGTTTTATGGTGACTGAAATTATTTTTATCAAATTCACCCCTGTCCGCCGCTTGTTTTGTTCCAGCTCACGTGTACATCCGTCCAGAAATCAATTAAGCGTACGGAAGTTTATATTTCTATAAATTAAGCTTTATCTCAATGACATAATATAAAAAATTAGGTTAGGGCGCTTCCACCCTCTGTATCAACCCCTTGCTTCTGGAGAACTATCCGCCTACTTAGAAACGTATCCGCCCCCTTGCAGTCATGCGAAAATTTTACCGCAAAATTTGTTTATATTCCGGGTGATGCTGAAATCTCGTGCCAAGTTCTCGGACCATAAACATTTATGAGTGCCGAAAAACTATTCCAATACGCCGATCGACAAACAGCAAGCGATAGCGAGAGCAACAGTCAATGCAAGTAAACATTTTTGCATATTATTGTGTTTCCTTTTAAGGTCATTTTTTTTTATCTGAACACAGTTTATGGAGCTAATTATGTCGTAGAAAGCGATAAAAATTACTTCAGAATATTGTAGAAATTATTTGGTCAATTTTGGTACGAAAAACTTAACGCTTTAAATGAATTTCAGGTTTTTCTTGCATTTGGTAGTTTGAAAATTTCATGAATTGGGTACGTCATTTTTTGATACAGTATATTTTGTGGATTTATGTTTTGATCTTTATTTTAGCGTTTGACGCAAGGAGTAAAAGTAAGATGCATCGCGGTTAAGACTACCAATTAGGTACTTACGGTTGAATCTTCCTCTCTGGCATTTTCTCCCTTTACGCGAGGTCGGTTTTCCCAATCATGCGGCGCCAGATACCTACCTAGCTAGTCCTCTTCGTTGAAACCTAGCGCCTTCATGTCCCTCCACCTTGTAGAAGGCATTACCTAAACCTAAACTCAATGACTTGCTGTATGAAGTTCTTGTACTGCTTGAAAGGAAAACACATCATTAAATTGAAGAAATCCTGGTACCTTAACGTTGTCCTCGTCAAAATTCTTCTAAGCGTTCAGTTTTTGTTTTAACAAGAAATTTGGTAGCTTCTGTTAATTCTAAAACGAAATTTATTTAAAATTAGTTACGATCTTCAAACAAATTAAAAACGTTTTTTAATCTAAACTCAGTACTCAGTTATTAGAAGTTACTTCATTTATGTTTCTGAAAGAGGAACCGCAAATTATATTTTCATCATCTTATTAATAATTTTAAAAGTAAAAGCTTGCCAGATAATATATATAANGCTTTCCTCAAAGTTACTACTTCTAAACTTTACCGTTTATTTTAAAAAAAAAAAAATACCACACAGCAGTAGGTAGCAAAAAAGCATGCTTATTTTACAGTACGAAAGCTCAGGACGGATAGCTGTACCCTCTAGTTTTCCATCCATAGTTTGAAAGTGGGTTAATTACATACAGAATGTTTGATATTTAATGGCAGATTTGATTAGCTTCAAACAATTTACTAAAATGGAACATCCTGTATATTTTTACTGCTGTGTGCAATTTTTTTTAAAAGTTAATGTTAATATCTCGATAGGAAAACCTTCTGAATGTCTACCTAAAATAATAAGTAGAATTCGAAACCGTCATATTATGCAGGGTGTTCCGTTTAACATAACGAATTACAATTGTGAAGGAGGGAGAATGCTTCCGATATTACTTTTAAAAGTGTTATTGATAACAGACTAATAAATTAATTTATTATTAGTACTCCTAATACTTACACTTCAGTTCAAAATGCTCAGGAATTCTTATATGGGCCGCAAAAATCTAAATAATAACAAAAAAGTTTGTTATTGTAAATATTTACTAGACAAACAGATTTTGTGTCTAGATTTCGGAATACTTTCAGCTCCCACGAATTAATTAATTAAACGTTATTAGAAATATGTCATTGTAAGTATTTATTTTTAAGAATACCATTAGATATACCATTTATTGAATCCCTTAAATCTCTTCTGCGTATTAACCGTTATAATCGAAAAAAATATTTTCATCTTGTTACAAGAACAACTGCATCCTGTGGCGGCTCGGAGTGTTTTATATACATAAGGAACGCAAAAATTAAAAAAAATTACTTTGCATTTGCGATCCTGAATATCGTGTATTTCAGCTGGTGCCTCGTATAAGTATAAGATTTCCGTAACAAATATTAGTTAATAAATACTAATGATTTATGTATTTCGTTTAAAAAGTTGATAACTACGATATGTACAAGCTTACATTTAAGAAACAAAAATGGTTCTCAATGCATCGAAGAATGCATACAATAGAGACACAAATTATTCCAAAATTACCCCAGTGAAGAATATTTCCAATTTAATTTTAGAAATGTAAATAAATAAATGTATCGTTAGAATTTCTACTTACACATCGACACCAAATATTGGATATTCAACGGGTCTCTCGTAGAGTTGGGATCCAGAAAACAACGTATAGGTTTCTAAACAGTAAATTCAATACAAATTTTAATTTCCTCATCTTTATTTAAAAATTTTTGCTTAAAGAAATATTTATTTTTAAATTTTACTCTCAGACCACGGATATTTTTCAGCCCCATCAAAACAATGCTATATAATCATCGAGTAAAAGGATCGTAGGCAAATTAAAGATGTTATATTTTCTGTTACTTATAATTAATTAGTGTAATATATTGATAACTGCTACCACAATTCCATAATCGTCATTCTTGTATAGCTTTTATTGTCAGTCTGTAGTCATTTACTATAGGGCTTGAGCGACCAAATTTGTTAAAAGAATATTTAATCATCAATAGTATTCTGATTATTTAATTAACGGGTGAAGACGGTGAAAATCCGTTTTCACTTATTTTTTGGATGGTACCTATACTAAGAAAAAAGACAGAAGTCTTTGCGTGTAAAATATGGAACTCTTATGACCTACATTATTTAAAATGGAATCATATTAAACAATTGTAAGAAACCAAACATAAAAGGTCTTCATGTGTAAACGTAGTCCTAGTGTAAAATTCATTTTGATCTAAAGACTTTTTTTAATTATTCATGTAAGAACTTAATGAAAAACTTCAGGAATTCTGACTTTTTACAATAAGAAACTATCTATGAAAAAAACAGTAGAGGAACTAATAATATCGTAGAATAATAATTATTACGAAAAGTAAGGTACTGTGTTGTCTTTTAATTATAGGTGATTATTGTCATGGAGTTACTCTTTTAATGGACCTACGTTACTTCTAAGAAAAAAATTGTAAGTTTAGTCTATTTATCACAATATGTCTATATATGCAGATAGTTATTCTGAAGCATTACTCTCAGATACAAATTTTTATCAGTTTCTTCAGAGTGAGAGCATATAATCATCGCGTAAGAACAGTGATAGTTGTTATTAGTTACACACTAATACAATACATCATTAGAGATGATAATATTAATAAAACTTACCCTTGCTATCTTGGCATTACTTATGTAAAGTCGCTTCTGTAAGAGACAGCTCCTCAATCAATAATTCTAAAAGTAAAACAAAAGGACTAATAGGGTACCTATATAAAATTCTTAACCCTGTTTCAATTCTAAGGAGACGCATCATTTAACTGAAAAAAGTGTTCCACCTTTTCATCATCATCATAGCGTCGTCAGTCCAAAGACTAATTGCGCACGCAATTCTACTACTTCCTCTCTTGCATCATTATTCCTAAAACTAGAACATTGCAAATTCCTAACTATTCGCAAACATTTACCTAATCTAGGTCTAGTTTTCCCCTTCTTTACTCCTGTTTGTGCGTCTAATATATATTTTACTAGTCCTGCATGTTTCAGAATGTGTCTACAGGTCGGACGGAGGAAGCTGGCGGAAATTTTAAAATGGCGTGGATGCGCGGTGGCAAAAGTAGACAGTTTTAGGTATAACGATTGCAGCCCTCTTTCTTCAGTGTTTCGTATCAGAGACGTAGATTAAATATTTAAAAGCAGGGTTCAATGAGTAAGTAATAGACATACGAACAGATGAACTAATTGTTGATGTTGACAGTGAATGTGAAAACTAACTATAAAACAAAAGCAATAGGTTTATTTTTCCTTTTTGGTCACTTATGTTTGTACATTATTTCTTAGTAAGCTACTGTCCTATCGGTATTAATACTATAATTTACGCCTACTGAAAGCTTTTTTTGTATTGGTTCCAAGTGACTTACCCAAATAGGTCACAAATGGGCAAGAACCTGCGCGACCGCTCGCCAGCTTCCTTCGTCCGACCTGTACCATCCTGTACCTCTATTTCCTGGTTGACTTCCGTAGCGTAGTGTTCCCTACTTATTCCTTGTTCATTAATAATATGTGTATAAATAAATTGATATCCTATTAATACCTATTCCCACATACACTTCGACCTGAAATGTCGCACATTAAGCTACCGATATGTACATTGTATATAAATTACTAGTTTACATAACTATTTGAATCCAATAGGGTAGGTAACATGTAGGTAAACGCCATCTGTAGTACGATGCTACATTTTAGGATTACGTATGCTCCAACAAGGTCCATTTAAATATATGGATATCTACTTGCTGAAACGAATCCCGGCGTAGCTAACCTCAACGTGATAGGAACGTTACCATAATCGAATAAAATAATTCGAAGTGGTCTTTATTCTGTCGAAACTGCCAAACGCGGATCGCGATTTCGATCTTTTTGGATCTCATCAGCGCGTCGCAGACAGCTCTTACAGAACACAGACCAACTTTTACCTGCTGTCTTAACAGCGCGTTTTAGAAAATACTACAAATGGCGCGGTAAACGCTATCTGTAGTACGATGCTACATTTTAGGATTACGTATGCTCCAACAAGGTCCATTTAAATGTATGGATATCTACTTGCTGAAATAATAAATTTAAAATGTAAAACCATTGTACCATTGTACCAATTTTAGCAAAGGAACATTAGATATAGAAACCTTAAAGAAATCATTTTTTTTTTATTTAATATCATCAATTTGTTACTTTCATATTAGTTATAACGGGCGGAAAACAAAAGGTTAGAAACGTTCGAAATGTAGTGATACAGGCGAATGATGAGGTATCGTGGATAACGTAGTGAATTTGTATTACAAAGAGGAGGATAATATAGGGCGCCGTGGAAGTTAATAAGAAATAGGCGTGATAGGTTGGTAGGACACCTTCTTAGGCATGAAGGGCTAGTTAGAGACATATTAGAAGCAGACACAAATAGTGAAATGGTTAAGGATGTGAGAAATTCTAGTTTTAAGGAAATGCGAAGATTGGCTCAAGATAGGAAAAGGGTGGAGGTGTGTGTGCAACTAGTTTTAGGGCTGATGACCCTATGATGGTGATGGCTAATTATATTATAAACCATAATAGAACTCATGTAATTTTATTTTCGCTTTAAGAAACGCAATGTTTGATTTTAGCAAACATTGTTTATTTTAATCAGATATTGGATCTCATAATGGCTGAAATTATATTTAAATTTATGCTTAATGTTGTTAATATTTCAATAAAATATATATTTGTTATATTCAACGGTCTTTACAACTTTAAAGACAAATTTTTATTTTTAAGTCTTACTCTTATGCAAATAACTCTTTTTTAGCCCTCGCTCCGAAAACGTGGTGTCGTCTTACATGCGAACGTTTCAGATGCGAACAACCACATTTTGGTGTTATTTGCGAACACTCGTATTAAGATCCAGGTGCTCTTAATAATTGTAGGTCCGTTTGAGAACAACTACATTTTATTTATTTCGGTTGTATCTATTTAATACAATACAACAAGCAATTTTTGCAATTATATACTATTCATGCCGACATATTTAATATTCTAAAAACAAAAACACTGTGGGTTCCCCGCAAAATAACTATGGATTTTGAACAGGCAGCCATCATAGCTTTGCAAAGCGTTTATCCGGAAGCGGCGATACAAGGCTGCAATTTCCATCTCCGACAATGTTTATGGAGGAAAATTCAAGAAATTGGGTTAACCGTTGATTATAAAAATGATGTTGAATGTAGAAATCATTTGCGAATGTGCGCTGCATTGGCATATGTAGATAGCAATAGAACATACTGATGACGGGTGGATTTCAATACAAGAGACAACCCTTGTAAATGACCAAATCAAAAAATTTTTTGATTATTTTGTGGAACAATGGCTAAACAATCCTGTAATGCCGAAAGAAATGTAAAATTGTTACAAAGCAACTCGTCGAACAAATAATGCAGTTGAAGGCTGGAACAGACGCGGTTACACCAGATTGTGAAGCAACCGCATCCAAACGTATATTTTTTGATAAAAAAATTAAAAGCAGAGGCTAATTACGCTGCACTAATTATCCACAGGGCGGAATTAAATATGGAAGCCAAAAAGAGGAAATAACAATACGTAAAGGTAGACGAACGCATTCAGAAAACCTTGCAAATGCAAATTTTGCATATACAAAGGATATTAAAAAATGTTTAGAAACATTATCTGTTAATGCAAAATTTGAGTGGAAAATAAAATTATATAAATATTGTAAATATTAGATGACGGACATTGACAAAGGCAAACACCAACTTTTAAACATGCCAGTATTCAACTACCAGTCCTAAGCCTGGATAATGTGTGAAGGGTTGCTAAGCATCATTGTAACTAACATTAGCATTTGTTCGTTTAAATAACTTACTATCTGTTCGTAAATGAAACTATAATTTCCAGGTCAACTCAAGGCTACTTATTACTGTTGGCAAATGGCACTAAATCTCATTTGTTCGCAAATGACACGTTCGCAAACACTCTGACTCTCACTCCAAAAACATCATTTTAATCATCAAATACAATTGTTGCTATGAGTCAAACACAATCAATAATGTAGATAAACAAACTAACTTCTACTCACCGTTCTTCTTGTAATGAACTTGGTGTGAAATATACCTGTCCAGTCATCCAATTTTCCTCTAATGTGATATCTAGCAATTTCCAGTAGCTCTAAAGTAAAAATAATGAGCAATTAGTGTATGCCAAAATAACAAAATTTACAACTTCTTTTTAGTTTACATTTGTTTTCAGTTCTTAAAGGTCACTTCATTTAGGTTTCTGACAGAGGAACCGCAAAAAATTTTTGATCATCATCCAATTAAAGGAAATTCTCTGCATCGGCCAATCAACATATGGGTAGGTACTAACTTAAATATCTTTAATGTATAATAATATAAGAAAATACTAGACAAATAGCAACTCCAACTGCTTATAAAAATAAATAAACTAACTAAAAGAACATTATTTTAAATAAACTATATTTACATCTAGGTATATGAAATTGTTTATATTAAATAAAAACCTTTTCCTCTTTAAAAAGTTATTTCTGTAGTTGAACATTACTTC